CCTCAGTTTCTCCCCATTGAAACCGTGCACACAGGATTACTTTGTGCTTAAAATCACCTCCTTTCCCTTACATGATAAAAAAAATACAAACTGCATTAAACCAAAAATCAGGTTCCTGGCCAACGGTCAGGAAGACAGAGTCTCGCTTCTAGGGGGCTGGACCACTGCATGCTGAGACCCCCATACTGTCTCTCCCCCACTGAGCTCCCAGCAACACCGACGAGCTTCCTTCTGCCACCAGGCAGGATGCAGGGACTGACAGAGCAAAAGCCCCTCGCGGGAGAGGTGTGGCCCAGAGCACAGCCACTGGCACGCGCCTTTCTCACTGATGGACGGGGGCCAAGAACATCTAAGGAGGACAGCTAAGGAGGCCGCTAACATCCAAATCGGAGACCATTAAGGAAAGAGTAAAAGAGTGAAAGAAACGTGGAAAGCATAGAAGGAATCGCAGAGCAGAACGGGAAAAAAGAGGAAGCTCCTCAGACAAGAAAAGCCATGGGGTCAGGGGGCATGAGAAGGAGGCTGTGAAGGAACTGTCCAAAGGAGGGCCCGAGGGGAAGTGCGTGTACAGAAGTAAAACATTCAATCAAAGGGTTGGGAAACAGTGCCGAGAAGAACTCCCAGAAGCTGGAGCAAAAACGGGAGGAAAAAAAGCAAAAGCAATTAGGCGGTCCGTTCAGAAGGTCCCATTTCCAAACAAAAGGAATGGCGTCTGTGTCCAAAGACACAAGATGCACGAAAGCCACTCGCGACTGAAGGACCCGAGGCTCCGGGCCCAGCAAGTGCCTGGTCATTTCTGTCCATTTGACTGAGGTCGACTCTACAGGCCAAGCCTGCTGTGGTTGCCCGCTCGGCAAAGACCCCTCAGGGAGCTGCGGTCCCGTAAGAGAGACTGCAAGCAAAGAGACCGTGGGGCCAGAGGGAAAATGGGGAAAGTGGGGGGACCAGGGCTCTGGGCGCAGGAGGGACCGTGTGGACAAACGGGCGGTAAGGCCGGCGTGTCGCCGGGGCGTGTGAGGGGGAACGAGAGGCAGCCGGACCCGTGAGTCTGGACTTCAGGGAGAGATCTGTGCTGGAGACAGGAACGTGGGCCTCACTGATGTGTCTAGATGACGTCAGGTCATGAGGACAGATACCGGAGCGTTGGCATGTTTCGAGGCCGGGAGAAGAGGAGAAGTGGGCATCCAGGGAAGGGCCGGCAGGCCTGGGGAGGGGAGAGGCAGGAGCAGGGAGGCCCGGACATCGGGCGCACTGCTGACAGCACTCCTGGAAAGGAATAGGGCAGGAGACTTGTGTGGAGGTGGAGATGATCCTGGACAGAGATCGCCGTGGACGAGGCAGAGGAGAGAGGCGAACCGCTCAAGCCCGTCCAGTGAAAACACCCACCAAGACAGTCTGCTGAGAGCTTGCAGAAGCCAGCGTAGCCGAGGTTAGAGCAGGGAGAGGTCTGCCTCCAGCAGTAGGGGCCTCCGATTTCCTACGGACCCTTCCTCAGGAAGCCTGGGAAACCTGGGGTCCCACACGGCAGACCACAAGGGGCTCCCGGACCCAGCGTGAGCACACACAGCCGCAAGGGGAGGGGCAGGCCCCTAGGCGGGGGCATCTCGAAGGACGGCCCAGGTCTAGGCACCGCCTGATGTCTTTGAACGTACTTGGAGGAGTTGGCGTGGTTTGGGTTGGTTTTGTAAGTTCTGCTGGAGTTTGGAACCAATTGGCAATATGTTTGTGTCTTGTGCTATTTAAACGCACGGAACAGGTGAAGCAATTATTTTTTTCAGGAGGGACAAAAAAGTGTACGTTGGCCGAACCGAAAACGTGTCCATTTCGCCAGAAGGAAAGGGAATGGGGGGTGCGTGTGCGTTACACGGGATGCAGCTTTATGAAGCTCAAACATTGGAGATGAGCCGAACGTCCACAGGCCGAACTGAGGAAACAAATTCCAGCACGTTCCACAAAATAGCGCTCATAGCGTGGTCTTAAAAATGAGGCCTCAGCATGCATGCGGAGGTGGGAGGTGCCCATGGTATGTTTTCAGCGTAAAGAGAAGATAGGATTATTTACAGGAGACAGCAGTGTATGTCAACAGGTGTATATGCGTGGGTACTTCAATGTGTAAAAAGTTCTGGAAAGACCCACCGAACGGTTACAGGGTCACCTCGAGGGCAGGGAGCAGGGAGCCGGGGGTTCACCGTGGGCTCTTGCACGTGGTTTTACATCGGGCTCCAACTGCTCTGAGCACAAACCGTTTTAAAAATTAAGATGAGCAGGTATTTCCTTTAAAGGGGAAAGAGTCGGAGGCAGGCGGTGGGAGGGGCCGCCCCTACCTGCCCAGGATGAAGGCGATGTAGACGAGGGAGGAGAAGTGGGCAAAGAACTGCAGAGTGAAGAACTTGACGGTGAACTTGCTCTCGCGCTCTGAGAACGTCCTGGGCTTCTCTAGAATGAGACGGGGGCTGTCCCTCTCCCGTCCCCAACCTGTCCCTCTCCCGACAACTCAGAGACACCGCCAGCCCTCACCTGCCTGCCGGCTGTGAGAGGCGGCGGAGACACAGAGGATCCAGGGA